GACAGAGATCATATGTATGATGACACATAAAAAGGGAACGAAAAGAGATAAACGAAATACATGATGAAACAGTTAAAACAGAATGACCTTTAACTTAGGGAGTGAACGTATTCACTTCCTAACAATGTCTTTCTTTCCCCGTTTTATACTTGATTGGAATAAGTTAGATAATAATCTGAGATCATGCACGAAAATAGAAAAGTTTAAAAATAAATTAGTTGTGATGGAAAATAATATAAAAGTATTTAGAATCTACGGTGTGAAGAGAAAGTATGATCAGATCTATTACTAGTTAAAACTATGAGTTATAATCAGACTTTTGTGCTCTTTCCGAGTGTGAGGTCGAAAATTTTGTGTCAGGTTTTGCTTCCGTGTAGTGAAATAGCTTTGAAAGGCTTGAAAAATCTGTTTGAATAGTCAGTACATTTTAGTATTTTCATCACTGGAATCTGAAACTAAAAGTTGAAACCTTTATTTATATATCAGTTTGTAGAGAAAAGCCTACTCTACAAAATGTACTATTTTAGTCTTCTTTTTCTTCCGGTAAGGCATATCAATTCTTTTTTATCACCGTCATTCTTGAAAAAAATCGACTTTTCAAACAAAGGGTGTTTTAACCAGAAAGGGGCCGTGACGAAGTGGTTACGGCTTCACTTGGATAAACGCTGGAGCTTAGCTTGATACCACAGATTGTAAAGGAATGTCCGTCCTATCAAATTATTCAGTCGGACAGTTCTCAGCATCTTCGCAAAGAGACATGCGGCGCCAGCAAAAACGTGTTTTGTTTTGCCGTCCAAACATTTTTTCAGACCTTCCGTTGATTTTCTAACTACTAGGAAGCAAAATCTGACAGAAATTTCTGAGGTCATATTCGGAAACGAGCACAGAAGTCTGGTTCTAACCGATAGTTTTTAACCCTTCTCTCATGTTTGCAAAGAGATGAAAAACGCGCGAACATTTTGTCAAAAAACTTTTCGATCACCCGATACTATCTAAAAGCAACATACACAGTTCTTTTATGAAAATACTTCTGTGTTCTTTATTTTCAATGAACTCCGAACATTCAATTAAATTGTTTAAGAAACTGAACTGATTTTTTCTAAACCTAAATCTGTTCTGTTAAATGAGCTATACAAATTCTATTTCCAGGTGACATTCAAAATGAAACTTCATTGGAACATTTTATAAACAGATCATAATGAGAAAATGTTTCTTATGATTTCGACATTTTCAGAGAAGTTTCATTGGGTATGTATTGTTTTGATCAACAAATTTCTTTCTATCGAAATGATCACCAAAAAATAACACTTTTGATCACCAAATCAATTAAAGAAAATTTAAATTAACGAAAATATATATAAGACGAATATATAGTAATTAATTGGCAATGATTATCAATTAATCAGTAGACAGACAAGAAAAAGAAAAGAAAGTATATACAAGAAGAAATACGAACAGAACAAAATTTTAATTTCAACGGGCGAACTTCTTAGAAATTTTATCGTTAATATTATATTTTTGAATCAAAGACGACAATCTTGCAGTTAGGCATGTAGAACAATAGATTTCGAATGTTTATTTTCGTGAACAAGAGTAAAAAGTTCGAATTTTTTATAAAAAATCCCCTAAAAGAGTGCAAAAACTTGAACAACAGAGGTGGTGGCGAGTGATGAGAGTGAGCCACTTGACAACATTCTAGCAGTGAAACGACAAACAATTGAGGTTCTTAGTTCATACCATCAAAGTCAGCGTAAGATCAGACTTGCAGTTTTATGGCTGGCTAGAAAAATATAACATTAATATATTTATTTATATATATTTGAATATATAATATTTCTTCATGTTCAGTTGTATATTAATAAATTAAACTTTCTTTATATTCTTTTCTTTATTTGTCTGTTCATTAATTGGTAATCATTGCCAATTAATTGCTATATATTCTTCTTGAGTATATTTTCTTTAATTTAAACTTCTTTAATTGATTTGGTGATCAAAAGTCTTATTTTTTCGTGATCATTTCACTGCTAATAAATTTCGTGATCAAAACACATTTATTCCGAAATGAATCTCATTCCTCAACTAAATAATAATCGAAAGGTTCAACTTGTAAGACTAAGAAAATAATTCCCGCCAAAATTTCTTCTTAATTAGTTCATTTAAAGTTATTAAGAAAAATTTTTTTTGTTCGGTAGTCATCGCTTTTTTTGGAGTCATGTTTTCATGTGGCTTTCTGAGTAAGCTATGAAGCATACTTATATCAAATCAGTTCTCAGGCATGTCTGAGATATGCCTATGGATAAGTTCAATTTAAAGTCAATATGATTAACAAGTTTTCGTTATTTGCTTTAATATATAATCAGAATCGGGACTAAAATCAGAAGCGCTAGTCTCGGTCATGCCGAAAATTAGAAACAACTTTTATAGTTATTAAACTAGAAGGATTTGAAATCGAACGAGAAAAAGTCCTACTTATATAATTATGGATGCAAGATGCACTCACAGCAACGATGCATCACTTTTTAGATTTTGCCCATGCCGCTCATTTTTTATAAATCCCGCCGGGATCCTGCGGGATTAACTTTTCTATGCGGGATGCCACGGGTTCCCGCCGATCCCGCAAAAAGTGACGGGATCCCGCAGAATTATTTTATCCCAAATGATCTTTTGTTTATTGAATGAAGTGCATGCATTCTACGGCTCTCTGTTCAAAACAGATTCAAATTAGAACGTTCGTTGTTAAACAGATATTTTTTTTCAATTCGACTATACTGCCACCTCCACCTAAACATATTCTGTATCATGTACAGCATGCTCTTTTTGATTGGGCGATGTGTTCACAAGTGACATGCACGATAAAAACAGAGAAAAAGTATGATGCTCGACGAGATGTATGAACACCCCATGATGTGAATGTTTGGATTCGTAGTACAGACGCTTCATGACAATTTTTTCATTTGTGTAATGCGTTACTATTAGTTTGAGTCTAGAATAGAAGTATTGTGAGTCTAGTTTGATGCAGAAGGAGAAAAATGGTGTACACTTTTTCCTTGCTCATAGATATTGAAGCAATGTTCACAGTACTTTTTTCATTTATTTTCTCGCATTTTGAAGTATCAGCTCTTTTTTAGATTAGATATGCCTCGAAAACACGAATATTATACTTCTCTTAAAGTTTATAAGCAACGTCAGCGTCGATATGATAGACAAACAGTTACCAACGAGGTCTCAGATAATAGTTCCGATGAATTTTGTGCTGATAATGAACAACAACATATACAGATAAATAATGATGACTGTACAGCACAACATTTACTTGTAAATAAATCTGATACATCTAATTTAAATTATATTGACGATGAATATGATAATTTAACAGGAACAAATGGTCCGAATGTATATCCAGAAGATTCGAAACCACTATTCCACCAAAGTACAACAACAGTTAAAGCTGCTATAAAATTATTAAGTGATTTTTATACAAATGCCAATCTTGATAAAGAAAATGTTATCCAATTATTAAAAACCATAAAATCAATATTACCACAGCCTAATCTAATGCCAACAACATGGAAAGGTATATTGAAAGTATTAGGTAAAACCTGTGTATCCAGAACAACATTTTTATGTTCAACCTGTTATCAACAATGTATTAAAACAAAATATGGTATTAAAAAATGTATGAATGATACCTGTTTATTATACGGCAAAAAGTTAAAAAGTAGCGAAATCGTCGAAATTGTAAATCTCGATGTTCGTTCACAGATCCAATCAATTGTGCGGCGTAATATTAGTGTATTAAGTCATCAGGAATTATTTCCAAAAAGTGACATTTGTTATGGCTCTCGTTATCAAGAGGCAAGTACACAACAAAGAAATCCCATCACAATAATTCTTCATTCTGATGGAGCACCGTTAATTAAAACATCAAAGCATTCATTATGGCCATGTTTTGCATCAATTGTGGAATTACCACCGCCAACTCTCGAATATCAAATGAATATCATTATCGTGGCATTATGGTCATCACGAAAGAAGCCAAATGTTAATATATTTTTAGAAGAAAGTGTGAAAGAATTAAAATATTCGATGAATAATGGAACAAGTTTATTTATTAATGAACTAGAATTCAATATTATTTTATTAACGCAGTATTTTGTATCAGATTTACCAGCAAAAGCATTATTTTGTAATACAATTAATTTTAATGGCTATTATGCATGTAGTTGTTGCCGTACAAAAGGTATAACTCATTTTTTTGAAATTTTTGGCTGATATTCTGAATAAACTTTTTCGAGCTAGAACTTTTGTTTTTGTAGTGTATAACCGTTTATAAAATCAGGCTCTTTGTTTGTTTAGGTGAATGGAATGCAACATATAAAATGATTTTATATCCATACAATGGCAATGATTATACAGCACGTACACATGATGGATATGTAAAAGCTGCTCAGGAAGCTGCTAAAAAATCAAGCGGTGGTCGAGAAGTTGCTGTTGATGGTATTAAAGGTTTATCAGCTTTATTAGAAATATTTTCTTATCCATCACAAATTGTGTTTGATTACATGCACTTAGTATGTCTTGGTCATGTGCCTACATTAATCAAACGGTGGTGTAAAATTATTAATAAACAAAATGTACAAGATATTGATGATGAATTAAAACAAATACGTTTACCACATAATATGAAAGTTAATTATCTTGATTCAGTTACTGCTGTAGATCAATGGAAAGCAAAAAATTCAAGATTATTCGTATTATATGTTGGTGTTCCAATTTGTGTTAGTCATTTACCACTATTATATGCTTCTCATTTTGTTATTTACTCAGTAGTCATTAAATTATTACATGCACGAGCAACGGATGATGAAATAGATTTTGTCAATCAGTTGATCCATTATTATTGTAAAACAGCACCATTAGTATACGATCCATCTATTGAATTATTTTCATTACATGCTCATCTTCATCTTCCAACACAAAAACAACAGTACATCATGGTTTAGCTTTTACATCTGCTTTTTCGTTTGAATCTTGTATACGTCATATAAAAAAAAAGGTGCATGGAACAAAACATCTAGCTATTCAAATTGCATATTGGACCGATATTGAATGTATTGTTAAAACAACAGAATTTGAAATTCCATCATCAACTGCTGTTAATGAAATACAACTAAATCATACAGCCATTGATCCATACCGTCCAATATTAATGAATCTTATTGCAAGTGAAAATCAACAACATAATGATGTTATATTTTATAAACGTTATAAAGATAAATTTATTACTTATCATACATTATTATACGATGAACCATTTAATTGTGTTAGTTATATTATTTCATCTAAATCTGCTTTAGGTGTGGAATATGGAAATATTATATTATTTTATAAATATCATAATGATTATTTCATTTTCGTACAAAAATATCAAGCATCGAAGAAAAAAATGTCACAATTTGTTACAATTCCATCAGAAATGCATCAGAAACTAGATGAATTATATACATTATTAACGTTAACAACAAATTTTACAATTATACCTGTCAATAGTATTCGTCACAAATGTATTTCTGTTCCTTTTCAAGATGTTTTTTGTCTATCAGAAATAAGAGTGAACTTCGAACACGACTAAACTTGTTTGCCTTTTTTTTCTGTATTGATGCAAAATATTTTTTTTGTGTTTTTTTCCTTCCAGGTCTGTTTCTTTTATGTTTTCGTATCGGACCGGTCATTAACAGCCAACCTGATCCGATTAAACTTTTCAGTCGGTCGGTTTTTACTGATTTATCTTAAGTTCATTTCCATTCACTTTCACTTTCATCTTAGATCGCCTATGATTTCAAGAAGGGTTAAAGGATAATTCAGCTATGCATTCAACGAATAATGATATACGTGTATTTATGAATACAGTAATTAGTTACGATTTATTCATTTTTCTTCAGTTTTTCTGCTTTGTTCATAAAATGGTATAAAGAAATATAGCGCTCAGAATTGTTATCACTTTTGTTCACGTTGTGCACAGGAGTATCTATTTTATAGACTCTTTGTTCTTATTATCATATTTCAACGTCAAAGACATATTCATCAGACAAAATAGAACAAATATACAAAATAGAACCTGACGAAAAAGAAGGCGGAAATAATGTGCTCATCAGTTATCATTTTCGTCGTCAGCACATTCACAGATATATATCTAGTCTAGCTAATTATATGTGTTTATTCTGTTCTATTTTATGTCACGAACACGTCACTGTCATATTTATTCATTGAACATACGCATTTGTTAAAATGATTGATCCCGGTTATAAACAAGCAAAAATGGGGCAAAAAAACCCCAAAAAAAGATTGAAAAATTTTGTATCAAGAACTACAAGTTCGGGATTCGAACTTTTTTGGGAGTATCCTCTACAAGCTGGTGAAAAACTAGGTGGGGGACCCCCTCCTTAAGCGATCTTTCATTTAAAACGTTACTTTTCTTCCATAAAAAGTGAATTTACTATTTACTTTGAGGTGCTGATGATAATCTTCATTATTTAAAACAAACAACTAATAATTATGATAGTGATGATTGTGAAGATCTAAAAAAAGATCACCACCACAACAACAACATAGCAAACGTACAAAAACAACAAATACAAAATCTAAACGTCAATGTACATCATCGTCAAAAAAGTCTACCTCACCAAATACAAGCATATCAACTCCATCATCTATTTTTTTGGTTGATACACCACAATTGGAATATGAGAAGGATGACGATAGTGATTATGAAAATAAACCACCACCACGAAAACAATCAAATCAAACAACACCATCTTCATCACCAATATCAATTCTTCGAACACCAAAACCATTAACTGGTAGAAAAATTCTTAGTACAAATTATGATAATTATGAGGATAATGAACAACCATCACAAAAAGAACTCGTATGTTTATTAAAATAATCATTATTAAGTAATACAAAAATCGAAGATAAATATTTAACAAATATTTAAACAAATATTGATCGTACAAGAAAGACAAGAAAATATGATTAAAATGTTATTTGAAAATCAAAAAAAAATACAAAAAGCATTATGCAAAAAAAAGGTAATAAGAGTCGCTTTCTAAGAAAGCTAGACAGATGTTGGGGGAAAAGTCTCATTTAGGGCTGATCTCTCCTTATGAGTACAGCGTAATTATGAATAACCTAGAAAATATTACGGTCTGAAACCTTTTTTCGTAAGTTACCAGAGCCACATGGTTCAAAAGTGATTCAGAGTGAAAATTTAAAGACGTTTTCTAGTAAAATCATGCACAAATTAATGGTGTATTTTTACATACCAGCACTGCTAAAGACTGCCTGTTACGGAACGTTCTTTTTACATAAT